TTTTTGAAAACCTCTTTTGCAAGAGTGGGCACCCACAATGGGGCTATAGACAAATAGAAGGCCAGATGAACCTCATAAGTGGTAGGTTTCACCAATATGAAACACTCTAGAAAATTATCCCAATCAGAGGAAAAATAGCTACACCAAGGTACCTGAGGACAAAGGACTTCATATCTTGATCTCGAGCATCGTCCAGTGAAGTATGAGCTATAGAAAAAAGGTCGAAGAAGAGCCTTCATGAAGTTCCCAAGACTTGTACTTGATGCAAAGCTAGAAAACCATCAAAAAAGCCCAAGCTCTAGGATGAAGCTGCGAGGGGGCAACTTTTAGATGATCCATCATGGCCATCTTAAAATCAAATAAAGATAGGCATATCCCTAATCTGGCAAAGAGATGCTCATACAGAGGAACCAAACAACCCACAAAAGAGTTGCACACCCTCTCATCTAGAACTACTAGTAGGATCATATAATCTAAGTGATTTCCAATCGTGATGTTGTCCTGGGTCACAACGTCAATGATGTTTAAAAAAGAAGGAGCTCCAACTATTTATGAGGCCACATAATAATATATATTAGCATTGGCCGTCTAAAGTAATCAAAGACCCTTGTGGGCAAGTGTTTGAACTTCAATATGGAGGTAGGAAGCAAAAATTAAGAAATAAGTATTCCAGGTTTTATCGTATCCACATGGATCAATGAAAGGGAAATAATGTCGTTCAATAGTTACTATGTTTCTAAGCTTGGTTTTGAATGGTTTAAAACGTAAAGTCCAAAAATTTAAACATATTAGTAGAAAATAAATACATTCTTGAGATATGAGAAAAATCCTCGGGATTGTATTTCTTCTACCCGTCAATTACTTAAACACATTGACCAATTATATGTAACCTAAATCACTCCATAATATCATCACGTATCCATCACATCAGTGTCCATGTCTAGAGCACTGACGAAATTTCTATCGTATTATCTCATCAGCAATGTCTCGCATAACTAAACAACATGGAGCATTGAGAATAGATACCCGTGCGAATATTAGATCTAAATCAATTTCTAGAGTCTAGAACCTAATAGATAATCATCCAAGAACAGTATTTGAAGAGTATATGTCTATAGTAATTCAACTCATATCACAAAGAAAAAACTAGGATAAACATCGACATAGATTTGAGAAATATATATTATAAAATGTCATGATCAGTACATATACATAAAATCAAAGTAAAATTACATATAAACCCCAACAATAGAGAATACAGAAGAAGAATCAAACATCTCTTGCAGTGCCAGGACGATTGATGAAGCTCCAACTTCAGATCATCAAGATACAACCTCCATTATTGTTATCAAAGCCTAAAAGCTATAAGAATGTTGGTCATAGAGTTGGGAGCAAAAAATCCTCAAACCATAACCTAAATATGTGTTCTAAAACTCAATATACAAGTTTCTGCCCAGACAAATTCGCTCGACGCCCAAAAAATTTGCCCAACGAAATGTCACTTTATTCCTAAAATACAACGTAAAAATAGCCAAATTTTCCTAGAAAATCTCAGAGCGCTTAAAATTCCCCGAGCTCGCTGGTGAAATTGACAGCATTGAGAAAAATTGGTTATTGGTTTCACCATAACTCAAGAATCGTAACTTTGATTTACGCACAGTCAGAAGCATTGGAAAGCTTATTTAATGCCCTATATAACATTGACTAAATATAATTTATTGAATACCTACACAAATCAGATAAAAAAAAATCAAACTCAATGATATTTACATGATAATGCAATATATACACTATAACGTAAATTATACCAAATATACACTAAAGTTTAGGTTTATTGATGAAAATAAAATGAATTAAGATGATGAGTGCTAATTATTCATACTTAAATTTACAACAATTTAACACTCATCAAACTCTACCTAACTTAGACTTGTTTGTCCTCAACAAGAATCAATCAACCTAAAGAAACAAAAGCAATCGCCAAGAATCATGATCAACAAGTTTGGAAAAATGAAAACAAATATATGGTTAGTAAACAAAAGTACAGGCAAAGTAATGCTTACCATTATACTAAAACGAAAACATGAAAATGACACAAATCATAAGTACAAAACACATGTCGAAAATCCTAATACAATACAGACTCAATCATGAATCATACCTATCACACATCTTCAAATGATGAAAAAAAAGAAAGAATGAGGGAAAAAACTCACACCAAAAAATTATGCAAACATCTTGATCAACTTAGGAATTCATCAAAGAAAACTCATATTGAAAAGAATAAATCATAAATCACAAAGGACTTCAAGTGTTGTAATGTGGCTAGACTAAAAAAGAAGGGTCAATTTCTAAAGGTAATTAAAACAAAAAGTTATCTAATCCTATGGGAGTTATCAATTCACAAAGGCTCAAGCACAAAACTTAAACACACTTTCAAGCAATAAAAAATTATACAACCTTTCTCATTACTCAAAATTACAACCTTGATCTTATTCATAATTTTTTCCTTTTCTTTTCTCCTTCTTTTATTTTTATTTTTATTTTCTTTTTCTTTTCAACTAATTTATCATCCAATTTCTATCAACCAGTTTATAAGTAATCAACCATTGTTCTCCCAAACTTGAATACAACCACACATAGTGACATGAATGCTCCCAACTTTCTAAGGCAATGAAAAATTCCAACCACAATACATGGATGAGGGCCAAGTGCAAAGAAATAAAATTATAATTTATGATGAACTACTTACTCATGCACAAGTTCATAGTTCAACACCAAGATGAATTCTAACAAAAATGCTCAAAGGGGTTAACAAATGCTCGCTCACTCACAAGGTTAATTACTTTTGGTTAGGTGGTTATGCTTAAAATCAAACAAAATGCCTTGGTCATTTTCATGCTTTCATCCAAAACAACATAAATGCAAGATTAAACATAAGTCAAAAGAGTCAAAACAAAATTGTTGGTCTCCTATGCATATAATAAACAATGGAAAGCTTGCTCACAAAAAGGCTTGGATATAAGGTGAGTCAATCTTGAACAAGTAGTTCAAAAGAATAAATGAAGTGCGAGTTGTACAAATTAAAAGTTTCATAATCATGCTATGTTATAGAAAGCATTAAACATGTACCTTGCATGGTACCAACTTCAAACAGTACCATTATCACACATTTGTATGTTGAAACAATCAAACTTGGACAATCACAACATGTCTCCCCAAGCCAATAAAAACAATATTTTGGACAAACACAAAACAAAAATAAATTCCTAACATCCTAACAAAATCCAAATTAAACTAACTATTAAATACAAAGCTATAAAAACTCAAAAATTGTTGGGTTGCCTCCCAACAAGCTCTTGTTTTACGTCATTAGCTCGACACCTTTATTTATTGACATTCCTTCATGTTGCCTCCTTGCATGGCTAGCTGTCACCAACGGATATTCCTAACCAACACTTCAGCAAACATGGAAGGAAACAAAACATATACAATATACACAAGTATTGAAAGTGTGTAAAAAGAAATCATATACACTATATACCAGTATGGAAAACATGCGTAAATATACAAGTATGGACAAATATACGATATGTACAAAGCTTAAAAACATGGAAACTATTTCAATGTGATTCAAAATCTAAAACTAATCCCCGACAATGGTGCCATTTTGTTCAAACTATAATATATCCGAAAGAAGCAAAATTTAAGTTGGAAGTATTCTGGGTTTTATAGTCTCCACAGGGATCGTTGCAAGGGAAAGAACGTCGTTCAATAGTCACTAAGTTTCTAAGCTTGGTTTTGAATGGCTTAAAATATAAAGTGCAAAAAGTTAAACATATTAACAGAAAAAAATACATTCTTGAGAGATGAGATAACTTGTCTGGACTGTATTTCTTCTACCCATTAATTACTTAAACAAACTTACCAGTTGTACGTAACCTAAATCACTTGACAATATTATCATGTATCTCTTACATAAGTGTCCATGTCTGGAGCCCCGACGAGATTTATATCACATTATCTCATCGGCGATGTCTCGCGCAACTAAACAACACAGAGCATTAAGAAACAATACCCATGTGAATATTATATCTAAATCAATTTCTAGAGTACAGAACCTAATATATAATCATCCAAGAATAATATTTGAAGTGTATATGTCTATAGAAACTCAAATCTAAGAACAAAGCAAAAACAAGGATAAACATCGATACAGATTTGAGAAATAAATATTATACAAGGCCATGATCAATACATATACATAAAATTAAACTTACATACAAACCCCAATAATAGAGATTACAAATAGAAGAATGAAGAAGAATCAAACATTTCTTGTAGTGTCAGGGCGATTGATGAAGCTCGAACTTTGGATTATCAAGGTACAACCTCCTTTATTGTTGTCAAAGCCCAAAATCTCTAAGAATGTTGGTGATAGAGTTGGGAGCAAGAAATCCCACAAATATAACCTAAAAATGTGTTCTAAAACTCTATATACAAGTTTCTGCCAAGACAAATTTGTCTGGCGCCCAAAAAATTCTCCTGGTGAAATGTCACTTTATTCCCAAAATGCAGCACAAAAATAGCCAAATTCGCCTGGAGAATCTAAGAGCGCTTAAAATGATCATGGTTTCTCCTAGAAACCTCGGAGTGCTTAAAATGCCTCGAGCTTGCTTAGTGAAATTGACAGTATTGAGAAAATATGGTTTCTTGCTTTCACCATAACTCGAGAATTATAACTCTGATTTACGCACGGTCAGAAGCGTTGGAAATCTTATTCAATGCCCTATCTAACAATGACTAAACATAATTACTTGAATACCTACAAAAATGAAATAAAAAACAATTAAACTCAATGGTATTTACATGATAATGCAATTTATACACTATAACGTAAATTATACCAAATATACATTAAAGTTAAGGTTTATGGACGAAAATAAAAAGAATTAAGCCGATGGGTGTTAATTATTCACATTCAAATTCACAAAAATTTATCACTTATCATCCATTTCATCAGCTCTATGATGGTCACCTGGATTGACCCAAGACACAATATCATGTCGTCCCTTACACTCTGTATGACAAAAAAATTCACCATCACCAGGGTCATGACCAGACACTTTCCGGTATGTTTTGACAAAGTGACTGTCATGTTCCCTCCTTTGACGGGAAGCCTCTATTTCTGCCTCAGTCAAGATAGAAGAAAGCATAGGTCCCTCGACAAGGTTTCCACCACCGTCACACATTGTTGGAGACACGGTTTCTGAATGAGCCTTAGGAATAACTTCATCTGAAAGAGTTCTTAAGATGAGCATTCCATTTTTGAATCATCACTCAAAAGGATGATTTATGATTTAAAATCTCCACTAACAGAGGGAGAGGAATGCGACTCAGGCTCCATTCCCATTTTCAAAGACAAAGAAACACTACCCTCTGAGTCACTCTCGATAATAATAGGTTTACATTAATCATAGTCAAAATACGATAAATACTAGAGTAAAATATGTGGGGAAGAGAATGTCCCTTAAAATTTGAGGGTATATCTGTTGAAGCAAAGAGGGGGGTCAAAATGTTTAATCGTTAATGCTTTGAAATTACGAATGTGTAACGACAGTTACTCTAGAAGAAAAGAGCTCTCAGATAAGAGGGAAAGGCTTAATTAGATAAGAGAAACTCAGTCTTCAAGATGGCTAAAAGGTTTCTCCATATTCTCTCTCCATCTTTATATAGACAAACACTACTAGAAAATTTACTTTTAGTGACCGATTTAGTGACCAAAAAAATTCAGTAACTGTAGAGACCGAATTAGCCACCAAATTTTGATATTCATGAGTCAACTTTAAGAGATCGCTAAATCGGTCACTAAAATAAATCAGCCACCGATTTAGCGACCAAAATTTTGTGACCGCCAATTCGGTCTCGAAAAAACATTTTTGATATTAAATTTTATTTATATAACAAAATCAGAGACCGGAATTTCAGTCACAAATATTTTTTATTTTTTTTCTTTCTATTTTCTAATTATCTTTATTACGTTACCACTTCCCTTCAAATTTATTTTAAATATTTTAATTCTCTTTCAATTTTTAGTAAAAGTTTCATTTTTGAATTGTTTTAACAAATAAAACATATATTTATGTAAAAAATAATGTCATTTTATATTCATATTTTGCATAAAAGTGAATTTTCCTTTTATTATATAATTTTTATATGTGCATAATTTAATTACATAATAAAATCATATTTTATATAGTGATTTTCTAAAAATTATATATATATATATATATATATATATATATATATATATGTGTGTGTGTGTGTGTGTGTGTGTGTGTGTGTGTGTGTGTGTTGTGTGTGTGTGTGTGTGTGTGTGTGTGTGTGTGTGTGTGTGTGTGTGTGTGTGCGTGCGTGCGTGCGTGCGTGCGTGCGTGCGTGCGTGCGTGCGTGCGTGCGTGCGTGCGTGCGTGCGTGCGTGCGTGCGTGCGTGCGTGCGTGCGTGCGTGTGTGTGTGTGTGTGTGTGTGTGCGCGCGCGCGTGTGTTAGTTATATAAAAAGTTATTAAATGGTGTATTGTTAGGTCTTATAAAAATTCGCGGAGGTCATGAGTTTGATTCTTGAGTGTAACAACTTTTAATTTTATTTTTAAAAACAAAATCATTCACTGATATCACTCTATATTTAGTCACAAATTCAGTTGCTAATTTTCAGTCACTAAATTTGTTGCTAAAGCTTAGCGACTAGCACTTTTTCTACCAAAAAGTGATGATCGCTAAATCGGTCTCTAAACGGTTTGGTGTCCGATTTTTAAGTTTTTTTGGTCTCTAATTTGGTCACTAAAAGCGAATTTTATAGTAGTGAAAGGCAATCAAATGAATCATATTTAAGTAGGAAAAAAGGGTGAATCAAAGGTTATATTTCATCTAGGGAATACAACCGTACTCAAGTGTACTCAATTACACGAATAGTTTTGTCACATCAGCTCATACATAAACTTTTAGGTCACACGATAAAGAAAACATACAAAACATTTTAATAATGGAGTAGCATTTGATGCTTACATCCCCATCATGGTTTGGCAAAGCCAAAGCGGCACATTCTTGTTGACGCCTAGAAAAATATTCTAAAAGGTTGGCCACAACTATTGGAAGACTCCCCTGACATCAAACATGTCCGACAAGTCTTGGGGACAAATGTTATGTGTCGGCCAAAGTCTAGGGACCCACTGCTCCACGATCGACCGAAGGCCTACTAACACGAGGTCCATTATCCAACCGACCCCGTCAGGCCCAAGGTATAAATATCTCCGTAAAGGGTTTTCAGGTACACAATCTATAATCGTTACTCTCATTATCACCATCTTGAACCCTAAATTGAATTAGGCGTTAGAGCTCTAACCATGCAAGTTTATTATAGGTCCATCATATCAGAGATGGAAACACTGATTAACTGCATTGCATTAAGACTGATACCTCTGGTTTAAGAAGTACTACGATCGAAACCTTTAACCCATAGCGTCACATCATCATAGTGCTTCAAAAGTTTCACTTCGTCATATTTTTTGTAATCCTCTCCATTTCTGATTCCACAACGGAACATGATTGATGCTAATAAGATTAGCAGTGAGACAATCATGCTAGTAACACATCATTAAGGCAAGGAAGACCAAGTTAGTCTAACTTCCCCTTACCGTTAATTTTTCATTTGAAACCATCACTAAATGTGATATATCTATTAGAATAAGATTTAATGAGCTCTAGATAGTTTTTTTCTCTATAGGAAATATGGACCAAAATGTTAGGCTTGGCACACAAACATTATTAAGGATGCACATCAGACTTAACTTTCATCGAGGATGTGATTGTTTGTGGTATGATGTTCTTCCATATAATTTGTTGCAATAACATTGTATGTGACCTTGTCGACCATAGTAGTGACATACCCAAAAGGATCATGTATGAAACTTTAAGCGTTGATCAAGATTTTTGGAAGATTGTTGCAACTTATAATCAAAGATTATGAATTATGTTTTTTAAACTGGTATTACAAATATATTCTTGAATTGGATGACTCACCACTATATCCAATTCCCTTCATGTATTTTGATGACTTTCCTACACATAGAATTTTTTTAAGGCTCCCCAGTTCCTGAATTCAACATGCACACAAACCTAGTCATATTGTCAAGCTTAGAATTGAGATGGCCAACTTCTCCCCTCAACTTTGAAATAGTTAGCATGAGACAAGTTTTGTCTGGAAAAAGGACTTCAATTCTCCCTTTTTGTCACAATAACTTGAGATTCTTTAGTCAATTTGAGATACATTATCTTGTAAGCTTCAAAAAATGAATCATCAGATAAGTCATTATTACTAGTATAGATATATCATCTGACAATTCTAATTTTGATATTCTTTTATGAGAGGGTAGTGGATTCCAAGACACTGTTTGCTAGATCATATTCATTTTCTTCATCCGACTCATCGTCATAGAGAATGTCATTGTAGCCATTTTTCCATTTCCTAATAAAATTTAGACATTCTTCCTAAATATGTCAAAAACTTTCACATCCATGACATTGAATTCCCTTGCCTTTGTTATGCTTTTCTTCTTCTATTCTCAGACCTTTTGTGAAGCATGACAATGTACTTAGTCATATTTTCATCATCATCACATTCTATTAATCTGCAGTATCCATTTTGAACCCTACACACTTACTCTTTTTCTTAGATTTGTCATCAATGGTCATCTCAAATGTGAGTAAGGGTCCAATTAATTCATCAAATTTCATAGTGGAAACATGTCGAGCTTCTTCAATGGTTATAACCTTCATGTCAAACATCTTGGGTAGAGATCTAAGATATTTTCTTACAATCGTTTTTGCACACATATTTTCACAAATACCAAAGAAATTGTTAGCAATGTCAACATTGAATTCAGAGATAGTTTCTTCCTCATGCATCTTTAGGTTTTCAAATTGTGTGGTAAGAAATGGAATTCTTGACATACGAACTTCGAATGTACCTTCATGAGCAACTTTAAGAGTCACCCAAGCTTCCTTAGCATTAGTGCACATGCATTAATGATCCTGGAGATATTTTACCGACTCCATTTTATATGGCATTAAGAGAAAGAGAATTTCCAGACGCAACTTCATCTTCAGCAGTTATCCAAGCTTTTTTCATGCTTTACATATTCAATGTTGTCTTTAGTTGTGATCTTTGGTGGAATCCATCCACTAATAACTGTTTTTCAGATCTTGATTTCCATGGATTGAAAAATAACCATGTGAGCCTTCCAATAGTCATCATTAGTACCATTAAGAATTTGTGGAAGATTAACATATCATCCTTCTTTGACATCTCTTATCTTGAACAAAATAGATTAAAAACCTTAGAGCTCACCCAACCTGAACACGTGTCTACTCTAATGCCACTTGAAATTATGTTATGTTAATGACAAGATGTCATACACAATGTTGAGATAATGTGTGAGACAATATGATTAAAAAGAAGCGAAGAACAAATAAACAAATCAAATAACACAGCTAATAGGTAACCCGATTCGGTGCAACATCACATACGTTTGAAGAGATACAACTCAACGAAAGGAAATTCACTAATTCAAGTAGTGAATATTACATGACAGTCTCATGTTAACTCTCACAGTTCAGTTCCATTTTTCTAATACTACTTGAAAATTTCAACTCAGATTCCCCCTAAATGTGAAATCCCTTATTTTTATTCTCTCTCTCTCTCTCTCAAGTGTTTGTAAGAAAACAATTATATGTGGTGAGATTCAAATTGCAATTATATATCAAATATCCACTCCTTCTAAAATAAGAAAGACCATAAAGATTAGAGTATTATAATGAAAATACAAAGACTCACTTAAAAAAAATACGACACATATAAAGGAGAACCATCTTTTTAAAAAGAGAAAAGAAATCCAGCTGAAAAATCTGATAAGATTAAATAAAAAAAATTAAATTCTAAATAAATCGAATTAAATCTTCTCATTAAAAACAAATTCAAATCTTTTTTCTTAAATCATATTCAAACATAAACTTCTTCAAATATATGATTTAATAAAATATTCTTTAAATTAATTTGATTTAAAAAAAACTTTTCTTAAACACAATCTTTGCATATTTCTTGAAAAATTAAAAGTGAAACAAATCTTGAATAAATACTGAAGCAATTCAAATCATGGAGGTCAAAATCATACCTAGACAAGATATCTCCCGACAGATAAAACATCTTATTGAACATTTTGCTAACGAAAATTAACCAATCAATCATAATAACATATGCTTGGCGC